AAGCAAAGGATCACATCTGAAAGGATGAGGATTCTGAATCTGAGAAATTGAATAAGGGTTAACTGAGTCATCAGCTGTCCCCAAAAGATCTGTATAATACTGAATAGCCATTCCCTTCATAATCAACGGGTCTGTCACCTTTAGTCCAGCCTCATTTCATAAAAAATGAATTAAATTCTTTGACAAATTAGCTTGAACAGATCGAAAGAAAAACCTCGAATTAGCATCTCCCATAGATAGCCACCGGATCCTTGATTTTTGATGGAAAAAAGATTCTTCAGCCAATGAGAGAAAAAGCCATGCATCCCTTGCCACTCTCTCTTCTTGAAATAAACTCTGGGATGGATAGAGCAAAACCTGTCTCTGAATATTTTCCAACTTCTCAAAAGCTAACTTAGTTCGAGTCTGAATATTACTAAAACTCTGTTGATTTAAACTCTTGCAACATAGCTTAGCAGACCTCAACCTCTGATACAGAGAGAACATAGGATTAGAAGCAATAATCTGACAGTTCCAAGCAAGCTCTATTAACTGGCTGTACTCTGGGTGAGAGGTGAAAAAATTAAAAAAGTTGAAACGGATCTTCCTCCGACCAAGATCATTAGCCAAAGTAACAAGAATTGGTGAATGATCAGAACCTCCAGGCACATCAAAGAAAGCATTAGAATCCAGAAATTTATCCTGCCACTTTTCATTGACTAGAGCTCTGTCTAACTTGCGAGCTTTAGGGTTGACAGAACTTTTGTTAGTCCAGGTGAAGAAGCTGCCCCTTGGTGATAAATCAAATAACCCAGAGATAGACAAACAATCTTGAAGGTCGGCCAAACCTTGTAGACAAACCGTACTAAGCAAAAGAGAGTACACTTCAGAAAGAGATAATACTTGATTAAAGTCACCCATCACAATCCATGGAGAATTCTGCATAATATTAGAAGCTGCCAAATCCTTCAATAAATTCCAGAGAGGTAAACGCTCAAACCTTCTATTCCTCGCATAAATAAACGCAACTGTAAAAGCTTTGTTGGTTGTAGGATTAAGAACACCACACAACATCAATTGAGGAGTCTTAAGATACACCACCACTGAAAGAAAAGGTTCCCAAACAACAACAATCCTTCCATTTTCTACTTCCAAAGAATGGTTTGCTTCATAGCTCCATCCTGGTAAAGTCTGATTAATCATACTTGCTAAATTCACTTGCTTCACTCGTGTTTCCAAAAGTCCTCCTATAAAGGGACGATTAGTGGTAATCCACCGTTTTATAGATAGCTTCCTAGCATCGCCATTAAGGCCTCGTACATTCCAGGAGAAGCACTTTATCAGAAGTCAAAAAGGGGTAGTGTTATGTACTTATGCTTTTAAATGAGGAATTGACCGCTCATACGTCAATTCCTTAGAAACAGAGACATATCCGGTGGATAAAGGGTGAAATGGCTGTACAACACGATTTTCTGATCCAGGCTCTCAAGCAGATAATAGAAGAAGCTTCTGGCATTGCTTCCGCCTTTCTTTCTTTCTTACAGCAGCAGACACAAAGGGAGGAGGCTGTACTTCCAATGTTGCAGTTCTATGTCGCATAATAACATGTGCAGCTTTAATAAGGTTCTCTTCTGCATCAAACTCAGCAGTAATAATCGGATGGTTATTCGTGGAACCTGGCCCAAAAGGTGAATGAATTCGAGGCTTAGAACGATTTACAATACGAAGCCACCCACCAAAACTATTCACTTCACTTTCATCAATGATATATATCTATCTTTGGGTGCAAATGGATATCTCTTTTTATGAATGGAATATAGCATTCTACTTATTCCACACAAAAATTTACCATTTGTTGTTCTCCTTTAGCAAAAACAATATTCCTTTCCTTTTTGTGACATTGTATTCCATTCCTTTCACACTCCCACCATATATGACGAAAAAGGATGATAAGTTTAAATTTTCAAATACAATTTAATTAGAGCTCTACCAGAAAAAAAGATATATTAAATTAGCAATAGCCAAATCTTGAAGAAGGAAGAATCTTATAAATTATTATATTTTGGGAAATTTCCCTCATGTTTTGGGTGAATTAATTAAAAACTATACGGCATAACTCCATGAATGATGAATCGCACATCTTCTGTCTATTATAAAATCTACTTTATATTCATACGTATCAATATGAAAAGTCCAGATTTTGTTTGTTTTATATACAAATTAATGAGCATGCAATGGATCAGTTTCGTTCTTTTCATTGTAAGTACTAATGATAAGAATTGGCTTTTGATTTACGCTACATTACGTAAAATGAGAGTATCGAATAAACATTAGACTAGTAATCTTTATATATAATCTATTTGATGCTAAATTGAATGTAATAAGTCGATGGGTTTACATTACACTTATATAATATATTATCCATTCAACTATGCAAAAGAAAATGGTGAGGGCTGTAAAATGCGTTCTTCAATTTTTTTTTCTT